TTGATTAGCATGTAATATTGTACAAATATTTTTGTATAGCCCATATTATAGTTTTTTTTGTATAGCCCCTGTAGTCCTCAAAATCCTACAAATAAGAGGTGATGATGAGCAATTTGGGGGGATTTTGGAAAACTTTTGAATAGAACTCCCTTAACCCTTTGGACTCTGACTTTACTCTTATATTACTGACTCAGATAGTAAAGATTTTGCTAGTTTATTATTCTCTATTCTTTGTTATATGTTCTCCATTCTCACCAAGCTGATCTGCTAGTAAAGTCGGGTATCATCCATAAAATAAATTTGAATATAACATCCTCTTAGGTGTGAGATTGATACCAAGGACCATAAGATAGATTTTTCTTGACGGCGACCTCCGCATGAGCCATTAGTGAACATGACCAACATGGAATACACCGTCGGGATTTGTAGTTGATGGTGGAGCGACTTATAAAGACAATTAGGGGTGCTTTGAGTGTCCTTGCAGGAAGAGCACTAGGTGGAAATGTACCTGAGGGATCATCTGACTTGGTAGCTTGATAGAGATGCTCGAAGTGTGCACTCGCCTCTACACCAGCTGTTTATCACACTTGCGCCAAGATGAGGATAAAGAGTATAACCTTTCTCCCAAGAGCAAAGTGCCTCTTTTGGAGTCGTATAGAGGCGAAACTGACCTCACAACTAATGCGTGGAGAATTTCGAGTCTATGACCTATCTACCGAACATAGAAGATGCTCTTAAGTGCCATCTCTTCTTCAAGACACTTAAAGAGTTAGCACTTAGGTGGTTTACTCGCCTTCAGGGGTGATCACCTCATTTTTTGAATTTAAGCAAATGTTTGTTAACAATTCGCTAGTGCCCAAAGGCTTCCAAAGAACTCGCAGTCTTCATTGAAGATGATGTAAGAGCCTAGGGAATCGTTGAGGAACTTCATATTAAGATTCTAAAAAGATGCTCGACGTTAAAGATCTAGAGCTTGCAATCACCTAGGCTGTTTTAACCCAAGGAATGAGAGAATGTCCTTTTAGATATGCACTTGGCTTGTACCAACCAATGACATTTGCCAAACTGTTGGAGCTAATCAATAGTCATGTAAATACTAAAGAATACAACTGAGTCGTTGAGTCTTCCACAGCTACTTGCCCTCATGAAATTGGTCCTAAGTGAGATTCCTATCGAGGAAGAGAAAGAGAAAGAGAAAGAACTTGCCCTAGGGATAGGAGAGACAAGAGATAAACCCCGTCATGTGATCGTCAATGTTCTGAGCAGCAGAGGGCGCTCGTGCAGCAGAGGGCGATCGTGCAACAAAGGCCATTGAGGATAACATGGCCACCTCTGCCAAGAACTGAGGAACTTTCTCGTGTTACTCACCCATATCATGAAGAGGTTACTCATTGACCTTCCACTTACCCAACTTACACTCCACTGAGAGTTTTAATGGTCGAGCTTGTAGAGGCCATACAGAATAAGGAATTCCTTAGGAGCATGCCACCAATGAAAGCTACCGCCAATACTAGCGATACCTCTAGGTATTGTTCTTTCCATAAGGAGTATTCCCATGATAAATAATGTTACCACCACTATGATCTAGTGGAAGAATTGATCAAAGCAGGAAAATTGATGGAGTTTATACTCATTGATCTGATTTGGAGGGCAACACAAATGACCTGGCGCCTTCTCACTTATTTCATATAATATGAGTGGTTCTTGCCATCATGAGCTGAGAACATGCAGTCTTGCCCACTAGTTCAAAGGAGAGCTCAACTCAACATCGTAGCAGCTCGATGGGTGTTGCCCCATAACCTTTCACGAAAATGATAAGCTAGTAGGAGGAAACTCGTATAATGATGCTGTGACCGTCATTGTAGTAGTCACCAACTATCATATTGGTAGTATTCTGATAGACATGACGAGTTCAATAACTATTATTTTTAAATTCATTTTTGATAAAAATGAACATGCTTGTTTCTTAGGTCACCCCTACTTCAAGATCTTTTTATGTTTATGTTTTGTTGGTGTGCGATGTAACATCAAAGGAGTACTTTCCTTGCTAGTTACCTGAGGCTTGGGCAACCACCAAAATGCTGCGATGGTCGGCCTCATCATAGTCGATGCCCCAACAACTTATAACGCCATATTTTCCAGGCCTTGATTGAATATTTTCAGTCAAATTCCTGACGGAGAAAGACATCATGACAATTGCACAATTTCTACTAGAGAGTGGTCGACAAAGTGGCAATTACAATGGAAGAAGTCTTCTAATTGGAAGTGGTGCGAGGTCTAGGTTTGGAGACCATTGTTACAGCTGAAGAAGTGTGCGCCATATAGGGCAAGTGTGATAGAACCTGTAGAATCAACACTTCTTTTAGCTTTGAGTACAGAGGCTAGCTCATTCAAGCACATAGGGATGACCTCAATGTTTTAGTGTGGATGCCTATAGAGATGCTTGGCATCAACGAATATGTTGCCTACCCTCAACTTAATGTAAGGAGGGATGCTCGCCCTATCAACCAAAAGATTAGAAAGACAGTCTCCTTATTCATCAAGCCCATTAAAATAGTAGAGAAGTTGTAGGCGTTGGCTTCGTTAGAGAAGTTCAATACCTAGACAACATCTCTAATATTGTAATGATAAAAAAAAGCAACATGTAAGTGGAGAATGTGTGGACTTTATGAGCTTGAACTTGGCATGCCCCAAAGACGACAACCCATTGATCAAAATTGACACTTTGGTCAACTTGGCAATGGGTTATTTTGTGATAATTTTTTTGGATGTCTTCTCAGGTTATCATCAAATCAAAATATATTTAGATGATTGTGAGAAGACAACCTTCATCACAATTAAGGTCTTGCATTGCTACAATGTTATGTCCTTTGAGCTGAAGAACATAGGGGCCATCTACCAGAAAATGATGGAAAAGATTTTTAGAGATCATAAAGGGAGAAACATTGAAGTCTGTTTAGATGATCTTTTGATAAAGCTTAAGTCACCAAGCCAACATATCAAAGATCGAAAGGAGACCTTTGCTACTTCGAAAAAGTTCATGTGATTGAACCCACTTAAGTGTACTTTTGGTGTAGAATATGAAAAATTCATAGGCTTTCTCTTCAAGACATCAAAGTCAATTCTTGTAAAATGAAGGTCATCCTTGAAATGAAGTTGCCCAAGACGACCAAGGAGGTGTGGCGACTTACTAGGCAAGTCGCTAGGTTTAGCAGTTTTATCTCTAGATTCAATAAGAGATGCTCGTCATTCTTCAAAGTCCTCTGGAATGCGAAAATGCTCTCTTGGGGCAAGCACTGTGAAGCTATATTCTAATGGCTGAAGCTCGTTCTCACATTATTGCTACCTCTTTTAATGTCTGCGACTAGACGAGGACCTAATGTTGTAGTTGGGGCTCAGTGAGGATGCTATCATATTCATGCTTGTCAAAGAAGAGGGAATAAAATAACAACCAATTTACTATGTGAGCAAAACATTTGGAGGTGTGGAGCTGGGATACCTCATCATGGATAAACTCGCGTGGGCAGTGGTATGCACGAGAAAGAACTTACGACGCTACTTCCAGGTCCATCCTATTCAAGTGGTGACTAACCACCCACTTAAAATTGTGCTTGCTAAGTCAGATTACTCCTGTAGGTTGCTCAAATTATTCTTGGAATTCAACGAGTTTCAAATCTCTTACTCGCCAAGGACAACCGTCAGAGCTCAGAGACTTGTCGATTTTCTTGTAGATTTCAGTTGTGTAGATGCCAATTTAGTGGGGATGGTCCCTCGTAGTAGCACTGGATCTTATATGTTAACAGTGCCTTTGGGAGCCAGGGTTGGTTTAGGCATGGTTTTGAAATGCCCAACAGGAATTATTATATCTCAGGTCGTGAGCTTAGAATTCAAAGCTACCACGCCAAGGATGAAGCTTTGTTTTCTAGTTTACAACTTGCCTCATGGCTTGGGGCAACCTAGTTGGAAGTATACTTCGACTCATAATTCATGGTCAATCAAATCAATGGCGAGTACGAGTTGAGGGACAAACTATTACACAAGTATCTATTTAAAATAAAGACAAGATTAGCAAGCTCAAATTCTTCAAAATCTCTTAGATCCCATGTGACCAGAACTAACTCTTCAATCTCCTTTCAAAGCAAGTGAATCCCGATGGGAAACCAACATTTAAGGTCTCGAGGCCTAACTATCAAAGATGTTATGTAAATTGAAGAAAGTCGCTCAACAAGTTTGGTCGATCACTACATTGAGTACTTAAAGACTGGAGTAATCAATGTTGAAGTTGGCAACCCAAGACAATTCAAGATCAAAGTGGCGAACTATTTTCTCATGGGCTGCGAGTTATTTCGAAGATTGGCGACCTCACTTAACTTGAGGTGCATACGAGAGAAGGAAAAGGAGGCAGCACTGAGGTGAGCGTGGAAGTCATTCTTAAGGAAGAACACTCGCCCATTAAGTCCTTAGATAAGGTTATTTTTGGCCAACCTTAAGGATGCAGAAGAGTTCTCTAATAAATGCTTGCAATGTTAGAAGTTTGCTCCCATACAGCTTTAGCCTTCGCACAAACTGCAATCCATCAACATCCTAGGGCTATTCGCCGTCTGGGGAGTGGACTTGTTTGGACCATTTCCTCTATCTATTCTCCAAAGAAAATCCATCTTAGTCATGGTCGACTACTTCATTAAGTGAATAGAAGCCAAGGAACTCACCCAGACGATCTCCACCATTTTGAGAAACTTCATTTGAATTGATATCATTTGCTGACATGGTGTTCCCATCATCATCAACATTTGGCCTAAGTTCACCAACTAGAGCTTGAAGGACATTTTGCAACTCGTAGGGGATTCACCTCAAGTTTACCTCAATCCATCAGAGAGCATGAATGAAATAATTATTATTTCACTTTTATTTTTGTTTAAAAGTTACTGATTTGATTCTCAGAAAAAAGCTCTCTACATTGCAGAGCAGAATCTCATGGCATTTGCCTTTGCCTCATACAGGGCCCAAGAGCACTGAAGCAATCAGACTTGGAGAAAGCTATGTCAACCATTGGCAGAAAAGATAAAAGATCAAGCTCACAATCACCTCCATGGGCCCAGCCGGCAGATTCAGATGACACTCAGGTCCAGAATGCCATCTTCCAAATCTCAAAGATAATGTCTCATATTATGAACAACCAGTCTGAAGCTCATGACCCTTAGTTTTTTTTTTTTACCTCAAATATTTTATGCGTTCATGTCTAGTATTGCTTTAGGAGAAGCTGATGGTTTCAAATGTTTTCCGTTATGGCATATATTTTATAACCCAATTGTACTACTTAGCCTCTTTATAAATTATATATGATTGGAAAGTAATGGAAGATACATCACAAAAACTGTCTTTTTGTTCATGTCATCGAAAAGTTTAGCATTTATAGCATTTTTTTCCTGATCTTTCATAAATTTTTTTTTCTTTTGCTTCTCACAGTTTTATTTCTTGGTACTGTATGGGAGGCTTTATTTGTGGTAAGTAGGGAACAATTCTGGGATAATTGATGTACATTATTCTCAAAATATCTGCGAAAAAAAGCGTTGTGATATTCAGTTTTAAATTTAGTTGGGGTATATTTTTTGGCAATTAAATATACCTTTAAATAAATATAATGCAAAGCATCTGGCCTGTTGTGTGAGAAAATTACTGCTGAAACTTAAGGAAAACATTTATAATATGGTGATGAGATTGTTATACTTTATGGCGTTTATATTGGCCATAAAAAAAAATTATAAAATTTAGGGTTGTAAAGATAAGGATATTCAGTGGATGAGTGGTTCTATATATATAGATATATATATATATTCTTTTTTTTTTCTTCCCTATGGGAAAATGTAAATGCAATTATTTTCATATAAAATGAAATAAAATATTTTATTTTTTTACTTGTACTGTAGCTCATTTATGTGTTTGTTGATTTTAAAATTCACCTAGGTGTTGAGCTTGGTTATAACACTATATAAAAAGGCACTTGCCAATATATGAACTTACTATGGATAGATTTGATGTGTGATGACCGATTTGGTTGCAACTTTGTAGAAGAGTATGCTCATTGCTGATTATTTTTAAAGAAGACGCCTTATTAGGTGATACACGCCTCTTCCAAAACTTTGAAGTGTTCATGGGGGTAACTACCTAGACTCATCACAATAGGACTCAAGTGTAACTCATTACATATGGTTAAGCCTATAATGGACTTGTAGTTTGTAGTAGGGACTGTTGAACTCATTTTAATGAGGTCAATTTTCTTATATCAAACACCAATCTCCAAGAAATTATCATTAGACTACATTCCAAACTCAAAATCAAATTCTTTACCATGCATTGGCATAGTACCTTGATCATTGACATAAAAACCATCCCTGGATAGTCACCATTGATTGTCATTTGGTCACGTGATCAATCACTTGATAATCACCAAATGATTGTCAGTGATTCGATCAATTCAAAATCAAATCTACCCTCAATCATTGACACACAATGATCATATTCAAATCAAACATCCAATTCATTATTAGACAATCACCATTGATTATCACCTGATCTCCTGTTCAAACAATGATAATCATCATTGATTGTCAGTGATCTAAGCATTTAAAAGTTATAATCTCCCTCAAATCAGTATCAACATCAAATCTAAATCCAATCCAGTAACTAAATCCATTCAACGCTCCAAAATCTAGTGTTAGAGCCAAACCTAAAACCCCTTTGCCATAACCTATTTTTTTGGAGAAGTTTCAATTGCCTTGAAACCTGACCAAATGACCTTGGATTCCTGATCTTTCACTTGCATATTGATAAGGCATGCCCACAGGGTCAACTACATGAGTTTGAAGGCATTTTCATATCCCTAACCCTTAAAACCCAAAGTGTTATCATAGGCTGCAAAACCTTCAAATATTTATAACACATACTTCTGAACATGACATCTTATGATTTTGACCTTGGAAGCCTCTCTAAACACATTGATAATGATCTTAATCTTTGGCATGATCCATTAAACCAACATTGGATCCTGGTTGATCATACTTGACCATGGTTGGCCATAAAACACTACAACCCTAAACCTTAGAAATGGTATTTTCTTTAAACCTTAATATGGCCCAATCAAACTAGGCCATACAACCTTCTCCAAATATGATCAAAATACCATTTGACATACATTAAACTAAAACTCATGACATGATCAACCTTGGTTGACCAAGTTAACTCAGGTTGATCATATATATGAACCTTACCATTGCATGAACCCTTTCCAATGTGTTCAACATATCATTTGGAATGGCTTAAGCCCAACCTTAGCCCATAGGTTGACCTAGTTGACCAAGTCAACTAAAATTGACCAAATGCATCTTTAAATGTTTTAATATGCATCTCACACATATATGCTTTCCCAATCCTTGAGACCTCTTACAAAGTGTTCAACACATCAATTAAAATGTGATAAACCAAACCCCAACCCATGAGTCAACTTGGTTGACTAAATCAACCAAGGTTGATCGAGCTTGCATACATTGAAACCCTTTGCAAATCTCTTGACCAAGTCTTTATCAAACCATTTGGACCTATAAGGCTTTCCATATGATCCTTCAAAGCTAACCCTAGGTCACCCATGCCTTGAATCCACTTGGGTTTTCCACTTGGCTTGACCAAAGTGATCAAATGACCTTACATTGAATCAACTTTAAACCTAGTTCTAATTGACCCAAGTTAGCACTTGCATTGTATTCACTATAGTGCATGATATCTATCTTGGTTAGCCCAGCATTTCAGCTAACCCGAGTAAACTCATTTGAGCTAATCCAATGTCATCCAAAGTGCCTAAACTAAGATACATTGCATGCTTGACCTTCCCAAGCCTAGGTGGAACATGAATTGAGTTTAGGAATTCTCTAGAAGCCCATCCACCTCAACTGACCCTAGGTGTTGGTCGGATTCAGTAGCAATTCATGAAACTGTCTATATGACATGCAGGTTGAACCAACCCTTGCAACGCAAGTGAACTTAAGCCCATAGAACATCAAGAATGCTTCCCTAAATCTTTTGAAACCTCCTTGACCCAACCTACTGGTCATAGGGGGTATGAGTTAAGTTGAAATCTCATCTTTATCTATTTTAAAACTCTATAAATAGACTTATTTTTCTCTAAATAAGGGTTAGTAACCTCATTTCGAAATGCATCCTAAGTGTGAAAACATCCTTCTCCTAACTTCCTAACTATCTGTGTGAGGTCCTAGGGTGGTTTCGAGTGAGCTCCAATGACACTTCCACTGTAAAAGAGCATATTTCAATCCATCTCTCCTTGGGCCAAACTTTTTGAGAAGGAACGTTCCAAGGATTCATATGATCGAACCTAAAGAAAGGCCAAGGGAAATTGGATCTTTTTATTAGGTAATCATCTATTCCCAAACTCCATTTTAGCTAGGTCGGGGCAAGTGTGAAAGAAACATTCAATCCATATAGATTAGACAGTTGGATTAAAAGTTCTCACTTTATTGATGTTCTGTATGAAGTTTAAATCAAATATACCTAGTTGATCTCCAGGATTTGGCTGGAATACACCTATAATTATTAAGTTGAATGGAAGGTTGAAGACAAAATCAGGACCACTCATTTCAAATGATGGTCATGATTCCGTCGTATCTCGTTTCTTACTCCGATCCCATGGTTTTGAGGCTTTAAATCCAAACCTCTCGACCTTGATACGAAGGCTCACAATAATTCTATCTTTATACCGTTAATGTGTTAATGATTGGGTGAGCAATCAGAGCATGCCGCATGGAAAGTGAATCTAATAGTGTAATTTAGGTTTTAATTTCATTAGAAAATTAGTAAATCTTTAAAAGATTATATCTCCTATTCTACTTGTCCAATTTGCACATTCTTAGGCTTTTTGGATTCATCATAAGGAGTACTATTAAAACCCCATGGTCTTGAGTCATGGTCTGTAGTGCATTAAATATAATTTCTAAAATAATCCTTGGGGTATTTCTTGAATTATCCATAATACATGGTTACCATACGACCAAATTAGAGTATTTCTTGAGTTATACATAATACATAGGTCACCATGAGAACAAATTAAAGGAAATGTTTCTTAGATATGTTAACACATCTCCAAAAAATTTCAATTCAATTGGATGTGTTTAAGAGGTTCAAATGGATTTTCCAAATTTATTGGTCATCATTTTACCTATGAATTCAAAAATTCACAACCAAGAATTCATAGGGAATTAGGGGTGATCTTTCATATGATTACAATGTTATGCTAAAGGGTTAGTTAACTATTGATTTTACCCAAATCTATTGAGTTTAGATCCTAAAATAAATCACCAATACTATTAATACATTTTGTTTTGGTGATTAATATCTCAACCTAGGGAGGCTTTGATGAACTCAAATTCAGTGGGTTTGAAACGTATGCATACATCTATTTTTGTTTCAAATTTTATTGAATTTAGAGATCATTTAGTCTGCCATTTAGTAAACCCAAGTTTGATGTACATAATTGACTTAGGATCTTTAAAAATTTATAATAATATTATTTTAAATCTAAAAATATCATATAACATATCAAAATTCTCAAAATTAAAATCTTAACATGAGAAAAATAAAGTCAAGAAATTGACCTTTAGTTAAATGCATTAAAATATTCATTAAATATGAACACTCAATAAATCATTAAAATTTTAGTAAATCATTAATCTAACAAAATTAAATTGATAAATAACATTAAATTAACAATCAAAATTCTTATCATTGAAGTTTTGTAGGCTAAACTATCTAGGGCTGCAGGGCTTCGTGTCTTAAGTAAGCATTGGTCCTTGTGCCCATTTTGACAACATTATGAATAAATTTGACATAATATAAATGTTAAATTGTAAACTTAATAAAATTAGTAATTAATAAAATTAAATTAAATTTAAAATTATTAATAAAATACTTGGATATTATAGCTTATATACCCTTGTGGTTTCTTCCTTTCAGGAGGGCAAATGTGTATTGACTTGGGAACCTTTAAGGACCAAAATATTTTATTAAAATGAAAGACTTTATGCTATCAATCTACTCCAATTCTAGAGAGTTGGTAGCATTATATTTTTGAGTCTAGGATATACTAATCAAAAACTTCTGGCACTTAGAAGTTGTTGGACGCTATGTTCTCTAAAACCTAAAGTAAAATAACTTCAACAATAAAAAATTCTTAAAAGAAATTTAAAACTTCTAAATCATTAAAACTTGAACTTAAACTATCTTTTAAATACCTTGAACAAATAAATTCATTTATAGATAATTCTAAACCAATAAAGTCTAGGAAATATCTAAGCCACACATCATTTCTACACACAGTTAGATGGT